TGCGTAACGCTCAGCTGTCCCAATTGTCTGGCAGGCTCTCGTGCGTCTCCTCCGGGGTAAGGGATTGGCTGTGGATCTGGGAGGTGCCGCTTCGAATCCCCACCCGTGATCCGATGCCAAGAAGGGATCCTGTGCTGGCACAGGGGAAGGAATTTCACGTGGGCGCAGCTGTTCTCGCTCTTGCGGGACAAGCCGCGTCAGCTGAAAGCCCTTTCTTAGGCACATAGAGAGCCCTACTGGATTGGATCAGCCACCCATCTAGACCAGCCTGGTCCCTCTGGACACTCCCAAGAGGGAAGGGAGCCACGCTCCTTTTGTTTTGTGCCCAGATACGAAAATATATCAGAAGCTGTTGGAGGCTGAGCCCCACAGCTTAGTCCTGTTCAGGGGTCATTTCATAGAAAAAGAGGTCCAGGAGCTCATTAGCATAACTCATTAGCATAACTTATTTGCATGTGCCACACCCCCTGACATCACTGGAAGTGTGTCAGAAGGCAACACCCACCGCTCAGGCTCCACTGGACTGTTTTGGATTGCTAGCTATTTGGGGGGGGGGAAACGTGCAGATCTGTCCTCACAGAGGAGGGAGAGCTTGTACCTGAATAAAACTTGGTCTTTAAGGTGCCACTGGACTGTTTTGGATGTGGGATGGGTGGGGCTCTGCAACTTACCTGGCTGCTTCTTGCTCTGACTGAGGGCTGCTGGGAGCAGGGGGTGGGGCTTGTTGCATGTGTCTGCCCCCTGGGCTTTTTACTGCCGGAGCTCTGCTCCTGTGCACTCCTGCAGGAAATGACCCCTGGTCCTGTTTAGACTGACTGCCGTCGATGCAGAGAAGAGCCGGTTTGATGCAGTGATTAAGAGCGTGGACTCTAATCTGGGAGAAATGGGTTTCGTTCCCCCTCCTCCACATGCAGCCAGCTGGGTGACCTTGGGTCAGTCACAAGTTCTTTCAGAGCTGTTCTCTCAAGGGCAGTCTTCGAAAGAGCTCTCTCAGCTCCATCTACCTCACAGGGTGCCTGTTGTGGGGAGGGGAAGTAGATTGTAAGCCACTCTGAGACTCCTCGGGGTATAAATCCAATCTCCTCCTCCTCCTCCTCCTCTTTTTTTTCTTCTTCTCCTCCTTCTCCTTCTCCTTTTCTTCTTCTCCTTCTTGTTCATCTTTCCCAACACCCAATACTATTACCTATCACATGCAAAGCCCTGGCCGATCATATCTGCTGGGCCGCCTCTCCCCCTACACTCCGACACAATGGCATTGCTCAACAACTGCCCATATACATTCCATCTCTGTTGGGGGCCCCACCTTATGGAATACCCTTCCTCATGGTCAGGAGGGCTCCCTCTCTCCTGGCTTTCTGCAAACTGTACAAAACTTAATTATGCAGGAGGGTTTGTTTGTTTTTTACTCAAGTAATTCAGGCTGTACTGTAATGAGGCGGTTCAGAAAGATGCTCCGGCAAAGGGATAGGAATTGCAGACTGTACTGCTGTGTTTAGCGCATACTGAGGAATTTCAGACAGGCGATATATTCCGGTTCAGGAATGGTTCCCAAACGGTTTCTGGTCTGACATTTCAGACAGAACCGATTTAGAACCGGTTCCCTACCGGAATATATTTGTACTTTCACTCACAAACGCTTCTGTCCTGTTCAGGAAATGGGGCTGAACCGTTTTACCTGTAAACCACTTCCAAGTAGTCTTCAGTTTCTTCTCCCAGATCTGAAACGCTTTTTCCTGTGGATTGTATTTGATTGATGCTTTACAATTCACCTCGAGTTTCAGTACAAAAGGCAGACTACAAATCACGTAAATTAGGGTTGCCAGATGTCCTCTTTTTTTGGGGGGGGGGTGTCTTTGGAGTAGTGGTTAAGTGCGCAGGCTCTAATCTGGGAGAACCAGGTTTGTGCTAGCTGAATTTTGTATGAAGGTGACATACAGGGAATCAGACCCTTGGTCCATCAACGTCAGTCTCCCCAGACTGGCCTCAGCAGAGGTCTTTCACATCACAGCTTACCTGGTCTTGTTAAACTGGAGATGCCAGGGATTGAACCTGGGACCTTCTGCATGCTAAGCATTGTCTTTATCAATGAGCCACAACCCTTCCCAACTCCTTGCAGAGCAGTTTTCCTGGTTGACGCGTTCTGACTATACAGGAGATGAAAATCTCTGTCCAATGCTTCCAACTGTTCACAGTCACTCAAACCTCTCTTATGTCCCCCCTCACATAACATGTTGAGCTCCCCCTCTTTAGTCTTTTATCTTAGGGAAGGTCCTCCAATTGCTTCATCATCTCAGAGCTGGTTCACATGTTTGGGACTGGACAAACACATGGAGGGGATTGGTTAAACATATGGAGCAGAGGTCCATGAGTGGCTATTAGCCACAAGGTATAGAGGCAACATTCTGTTTGGGGCAGTGATGCTCTATTTTCTTGTGGGAGGCCTTCTGGAGTTCTGGCTCTGCTGGTGGACCTCCTGATGGCACCTGGGCTCTGGCCACCATGTGACACAGAATGTTGGACTGGATGGGCCATTGGCTTGATCCAACATGGCTTCTCTTCTGTTCCTCTGTTCTCTTATGTTATGAAGCCCTGGTGGCTGCCAAGTGTGTTTCTATCAGATGTGCCCTGAGACTTCCCCACAGGGAACTAAATTCTCAGGTGTGTTGATGTCTGATTTGGAACAGGGCCGCTTTGGAAGGGGCACTTAAGTCTCCCCCCCCCCCGCCCTTT